TTTTGGAAAGGACAGGGTTGAATGGTACAATCCAAGAATTGTCTATAATGATAGGATTGTTTCTATTAGCTGCTATGGTGATCTCTGCTGAATTTCCTCCGTCTTCAGTACCGCGTCTTCTGTAAAGTGGGTAGCCATTCTCACTGGTTTGGGTATGGCTTATTAACGCCCTTGGGTAACTTTTGGAACATTTCCCATTTTTCATACATTTTGAGTTAATGTTTGTGACACCACATGGGCCATGTACCATGTTTTTGATAACAATTTCATGCAATATTGGGTCTACATTAATATCTGGTATCTCTGCACTGATGATTAGATCAATTTGGTTTGGCTGGATTTTTTCTGTACACCATATTAATGCATGGATGTGTGGCAATCCACGTTTCTGCCACTCCACTGTATACAACCAACACTTCACGGATCCAAATATCTCCCCTTTAGTAATAACGGCGACAAACTTTGTAATTTTCAGATGGAATACTCTTGCAACTATGTCATGTCGATCAATGGCTCGTTGTCCAGGTAGTAGTTCTGATATGATTTCATCCCATTTTGGGTTACATGTCATAGTTACAAACAGATCTGGTCTACCATACTTTCGTACATAAGCTAGTGTGTCTTGTGCATGCTCGTGCATATACCTAGGACTGCCAGTGAATGATGAGGGTAGAATCACAAGTTGACCAACATTATTGGGATCAATGTTTCCATCATTAGCTACCGCATCTTGTAAGTGAACGTAGTTGTCCGATCTCAGCTTACTTTGGTTCCTTTTTAAAAAAAGAAGCCTCTCAGATTCAATTTTCACAAACATGTCAACGACAAACTGGTTCAAAAGTTGTTTGAACCGTAGAATTGTATTAAAGTCATTATTACGAACCATAAAATGAAAAGCATAGAACTCCATAGCAGAAATCTTTTTGTTTTGTAAAGGTTGATTAGTGACTGGATTGTGTTTTGGGATACAGAAATGGTATCCTTCCTGACCTTGCCAAAAGATCAAAGGGTACTGTAAGGCATCGTAGAATCTGTGTGTCTCAGAAACCCTTACCAGTGTTTCGTCTCGTTTACGCAAGACAATGTCTCTACTTTCAATTTCATCATTGACAACTACAGCAGCTACTTCGTTTGTCGTTGGGGCATTGAACCGCCTCTCATGTTCACCTGGAGGACGCCTATCAGCTCGAATTACTACCTTGAGGTCCTCCTCTGGCCACTGTTCCATAGCTACTTTAAAGGTGTTGATGAGTTGATTGTGAGTGTGAAGTAAATTTTGTATATCATGTACAATATCATATGATAAACCTGAAATTACTTCTTGACGCCTGGCAGACTCTAAGGTTTCATCTCCTATGAAATAAACTTGTAAAAATTTGTGTTGCTGGTCAGGAGCTGGCAATAAAGATCCAAAGTTATGGTAAATTTGGCCATGAGCAGTAAACGTAGTAGGAAAGCTATGTGAAATTGTCGGACCAGAAGTTCCGAATGACGTCATTTGGAAACAGGAATTATATTGCCGCGTCTTCTTTAAAAATGATATTGATGACGTAGTTTCTCCTATCAAAAGGGTTCTTAATGGTTCTGGTGGCTCGTCAATAGTTGGAAGTCTTACTTTACCTGAAGCACAGCAAAGTCCAGCACTTTCCCCTTTCCACTTTAAGGCACCACAATGTCTGCAACATATATTCATGCTCCCAAGTTGAAGCAGACCATGACTTTGATAGGGAATATCTGTGTTATATGAAAAACATATACCTCTAAAGGGATCCCAGTTCATGCGCAGAAAACGTGCTCGTTCTTCCCTTCTGTGTCTTAAATCATTTTCATGTTCCACTGGTGTCTGGCTCGCTCTTCGGTTCACATGTCTTTCATTATCAGTAGAAAGACGAACTTCACGCTGAGCAGGTGTTTCGTCAGCACGTGAAGCAGTCATCCTATATGCATTTGCTGCTTGTCGGGCCTCACGCTGAGCAGGCGTTTCGTCAGCACGTGAAGCAGTCATCCTACATGCATTTGCCGCTTGTCGGGCATCACGCTGAGCAGGTGTTTCGTCAGCACGTAAAGCAGCCGTCCTATATGCATTTGCTGTATGTCGGGCCTCACGCTGAGCAGGCGTTTCAGCAGCTCGCCTTGAAGCAGTTGTTATTGAGCTCGTGAGCAAGCGTGCTTCTCGTTCTTCTATTGTTTCATTTCGTCGATACTCTGCAACTCTTCTGGCATTTTTAGATTTTTGAGATAAGTTACTTTTTCTCTTAGGCATTATTAGGCATATTTAAGCATTAAATGCTCCTAATATTCACCTAAAGCGAAACTGTACTAATAAATATATCATATTTAAGCATTAAATGCTCCTAATATTCACCTATGCGAAACTGTACTAAATAAATATAAATAAATGTATGAATTTAAGAGTTAGTTACAATAAAAATAGTAATGTTAAATAATACAATTATTTTAAAGCAGAAACACAAACATTTGTCATAACAACACTGCAGGATCATAACAACTAAGCTAACAATAATAACATCTAACAGCTGTGATTATTAAAGACAGTTGAAGAGGACACTACAAATTATTAATGTTTACATTCGGGCTAGTGACATCATTATATTTTAAATTTATAATCCTTACCCTCTCTGTTCTAATATTCATGCATTATTTAATATGTTTGAACCAGCTGTGTGGAATTGTGAAATCAAAGTTCATTGACAGTTAGTTCTGCTTGTTTACATTTTTTAACTTTCTAGGTGTGTTCTTTGTTACCATGGATACCATCAATCAATATTTACTTTTAAATCTCTCACCTCCGATTTTTGAAAGCCCACGGGGCAGAGCCCGAGGACAATATCGAAGCGGGAATAGTTCTATATGTATCCTCGGAGCTGTAGCTTCATTTGTGTGCAATTTGAGCCCAGTAGGTTCAGTAGTTTTTGAGATTAGCTCATACAAACACACACACACACAGACACCACCTCTTCTTTATAATAGTATAGATTAAGCATTATCATAGATAAAACATACTCCCTTGTGTTGGTTAGTCTATGGCATTATTCAAGGATGGTTTGTGTGAAGTTTGGTGCAGATCCGTCAAAAGGGCTCCGCCCCAGTGGCTCTGGAGTTTCCCATGTTAACCTTATGAGTACTCATATTTAAATGGAATTAAAGAATCTTAACAGCGGGTGCAGCTAAACAATTTGATTCTGTGATGTTCAATAGCATTAAAAAGTTAATAGGTTTCCAACAGGGTGCAGCACTATATTTTTTTTAATTTATGAGAACAGCTAATTTGCAACCAAAAGGTGAGTGAGCGTAGCGAACGAACTTCAACCTGGAGGCGAATTAGCGTAGCGAACGAGCTCCAAACTAAAGGTGAGTGAGCGTAGCGAACGAACTTCAACCAGGACGTGATTGAGCCATGCGAACGAGCTCATCTTGAAAATGAACGAGCATGTGACATAAAACCACAATAGGACAGGACGACGTCTGTCGGGCCAGCTAGTACTGTATACAATTGGTTGTTTAACCAATACACCCAAAAACATTAAATATAAAAAGAATAAGTGGAAGATACTGATTCTGAGCAGTTCAGGAAGTGATTTAAACCTGCACTTGCTTAAATATTCTAATCATAATGGCTTAGCCTTGTACTGTATAGTACATTAGTAGTCAATGATTGTACAAGTGCACTTACAAAAAGCCAGCTGTACCTCGCACATGAAACTTGATTGTAAACAATTCTTGAATTGGAATATGTATGCCACTTTCGGTACTTGTAGCATTGACTACTGTAGACAATAATATACAATAGACAATATACATTTATTCCTTTAAGCATTCAGATAATGCAATAGGACATGTCAAGAAGTGGACATGGTAAAACACATTGAGACACATAAATTAAAAACAAGATAAGAATAGTTTTTTTTTTTTTTTTTAACTGTAGGGAAAATATAATGTGCAACTCGAGTGCAAAGTGCAATTGCCTCACTCGAGAAACCATTCCTCACACGCCTTACGGCTCGTGAGTACTGGTAAGTATTTCTCTTGAGTGAGTCAATTGCTCCCTTTGCTCACTAGTTGCACAAACAGCTATAGGGTTTAGGTATAGGGTTACAATGAGTTATTATTGCATTTTCTGCATTTGACTTGGCTGATACAAGTCTTGTTAATCTAGCCTAGCCCAATAATAAAATACTTTTATCTTCCACTGTCCCAGCGAAATTGTGAGCGTAAACTGCGGCCGCAGTGTCGTGAATCGTTCTGAGGTCACGCTAAAATCATGCATCATAAGCATAATTCCCGTATTTTTTAGATGCTTTTGCGATTTATTTTATTTTTATTTGTACACAGCAATAACCATTTTTCATTTGAGTTTTACATTATGACTAGCTAAAAAAATATTCAACAGAATTTAACAGTAGATTGCAAAGAACACAATTGAAAGATATAACTTACATTAAAAAGGTATACAATAAACAACGACTTGGTGATTCTAGCGATTGACAATATGAAGGATGATATTAATAATGTGTTAACATTTATAACATAAATCACACAACCACGCTTAATACTGCATTTAATATTACTGCACTTATGACTGCACTTAATACTGCATTTGGTTTGTTCTAAGTCTCCTCAAAGTAAATACTACCATAGATAAAACTCCTCAAGTAGTTTGTACAGTAGTAGTAGTGTACTCCTTGAGGAGTATGTTTTTATGTATTATCTATGGTTTTATCTATGATACTACCATAGACTAACCAACACATACTACCATAGATAAAACCACGGTTACACATAAACATACTTACACATATATTTCCGCATCTTCCTATTACTCTATGCAGCTGTTTCTATTGAAGAAATGCCGGCTTCTCGGTTTTTGCCTTCTGCTCTGTCTGTCTCTCTCTGTATCTGATTAGAGAAGAGAAGATCCTGACTGGCACACTGCAATTTTTGTTGTCACTAAATCAAAACAAAAACAGAAAAAGAACAATAAACATCCTCTCCTCAAAAACAATCATTAACCAATTTGTCACATTGCAGTGTTCATTGTTATAAGTTCTGTCTACTCAAAAGATATAACTTTGTCAGGATGATTATTTAAAGAGCTATAGAATATACAGTATAACTATTGTGGCTGGTGAGAAAATCAAAATGTCTTGCAATTATGCCGATGGACTATCACCCTATGAAAACAAAGGAGTATTAGGATTGGAAGAAGTAAGTTTGATGACTTTCGGTGGTATTGAATAATATAATAAAATATTTGGGCTTGTCCCATCTGTATTTTCCATGCTTAGTTTAAATAAAATGAAGTCCTGTCCGTAGTCCTATTCGTAAATGACTGGAGCCTATTCTAACCTAGGTTATTGTTTAAAACTAGGCTAGGCCTAGGCCTACCTGAAAATCGTTATTTTTATATTTTTTTTATTACTTTTATCAGATTAATAATAAGAATATTAAAACATGGTAAGTAAGATAGTTACTTAATCAAAACTTTCAACCAACTCAACTGCAAACACAATAGGCATAAGCTACAAATAAAGAGTGGTTACAATAACACTTCAATCTAGGCTACAATAAGTTTTTAATTACTCTAAGCTAAGGGATGGGTACCTCTTGTAAACGCTCTTTCAACAACATCTTCAGTAATAAAGAAAGGGCTTCTTTAAGCTACACATTATGGTCATCATTAGTAGCCTATAGGCTGACTACGACCATAGGTTGTGCCTGATGTACATCACTAGGATGAAGAAAACAATAATTTTAGCATACACTGTTGAGACTCTAGCGTTATTTGGGCTACACAATGGCTCTTTAATAAAAGAATAAGAATAAGAAAGTTTATTGCCGTTGACCAGGTTGTATACAGGAATAGGCATTGTCAAATTACATTAAACAGAATATCAATATCAATATCAACAAGTATGTTATATCTACAGCTAACAAAGATTGAGAATTCCTAGCTTACAGTGTGAATGATTCTATTGTAATTTTATGTTTCAAAAAGTCCTTGACTGAATAGAAAGGATTTGCAACAAGCCAGCTATGAATTTTGGATTTGAAAAGAGAAATAGAAAGGCTGTCTGCCTGAAGAGGCTCAGGCAGCTTATTATAAAATTTCACACAGTTGAGTTTGAAAGAATTACCTGTGATGGCTAGCCTGTGATGTGGTATATCCAGTTGTTCCTTACTTCGTGTATGGTGAAAATGCTCCCAAGTTAGTAGAGTAACTTATAAAATAAATACTGTAGCCTAATACAAACGCAACAAACTTTTAATTAGGTCTAGGTAATGTGTTGCATACTGGTATAACGAAGCTTCCAAAATAACTACCGTAACTTGGCACAAGAATCTATATATTAATTTGAAACAGTTTTTCTTTGTGACAGCTAATTTGAGAGAACGGCTGGGCGTAGAAACTCGGTAGGGGTCTCTAAAGAAAGGTCTTGGTCTGTAGATGAGCCATCAAAAGAGAAATGTGGTAAATTCCCTTGGGACTCTGCCCCAGTGGCCTTTAAATTCCCATCCCATGTTATTCTTATGGAGGAAAAACGGGGTTTTGTCACAGCTAATTAGGCCTACAGAGAACGGCTGGGCGTAGAAACTTGTTAGTGGTCTCTAAAGAAAGCTCTTGGTCAGTAGATGAGCCATCAAAAGAGAAACGAGGTAAATTCCCTTGGGGCTCTGCCCCAGAGGCCTTTAAAGTTCCCTCCTCAGATGTGTTTACATTACGACCTTAATGCATAAATTTTCACTACTCTTTAATGAAACAGCTGTTAATATTTAAATTGGGATTAACTGAATCTGTCAAAATCAAGTATTTGCAATGTTTTTTTCAGATTTTAAAATCGATTTTCTTTTTCATCGTGTCATGTTTTGCAATACTGACAAATAACATAATTATGTTTAATATTCATTTGTTTATGTTGTGTTTGTAAATATTTACTTTTGGTTTTTAATAAAGAGAGCTAATATAAAACTATGACTTTTAGTTTGAGAATCAAATACTGTATAATATTCTACATATTACCAAATCAGTTGAAAATATCACAGTACTAACTCTTAAGATTATTTCTTATGAAGTTAACTTATATCTATTGTATGGGTTATGGAAACATAGAAAAGTCATAGAACACAACCAAGTAGAAGAAATAAAAATAATGTTTTTTTTTCATTTATAATCGTCATTGCAGACAACCTAATGCGGGCTATGCGGCTATGAGTGGGAAACATTTGTAGAAAACACTAAAAAACAAGATCAAACTTAAAAAAAAGATAAGATATTTAAAAAAAAAATTGATTTTGTCTAACTGTACACATCGTGAGTATTTCCATAATCTTTGAGTCCACTCTTATAAAGTCATAGGAAATTATGACTGTTATTCGTTTTAAAATAACGCCTGTAATGCTTCGCAATTGCTCGAATTCAAGCAACAGGTACACTAGTGAATTATGAATTGTAAAGACATCGGTATCTTTTTTTAGGAAGATTCTCTCATTTTTATTATCAGCCTAGGCCTAACTTAAACTTGTGTTGTCCTGTTTGGTTAGACCAACTAAATCCAATTCTATTAGGTACACTTAATATAGGGCCAATTAAGCTAAGTTAATTTGTTATAGAAATTTGACAGTGAAGAAGAGGTGGCTGAAAAGGTTTCCAAACTTGCTGAATGGATCTCAGAGGCTCGCCATGTTGTGGTTCATACAGGAGCTGGCATAAGCACTTCAGCTGGAATTCCTGACTTCAGGTTAGTCTTAATTGTATTTTTTTAGAACCTGCCTAGGTTTGCTGCTACAGAGAGTGTAATAAAGTGTGTTTTTGAGACTTTCCTCGTTCCGTTATGAATCGAACGATACCAGATGAGCCATACTTTCGCCCGCCAAATTCCCTCCAATCAGGGATGCCCAGAGGGGGTACTGTGGCGTGTTTGCGCTACAGGAATTTTTTTTTTTTTGGGGATGTTTTTTGCTAGCTGTCATAATGAATGTATACCTAATTTTGTATTAACAGCTCAAAAAGTGTTTCTAAGTAGTTCACTATCAACACCAACAACATTTTGCCATTTGTAATTAAGATTGTTTCTAAGAATGGTAAAAACGTACCTTGTCAGAGAATCCTTAACATGTATGGTAGTGTCGAATTTTTACACGTGTCGAGCAGCAACCTGAGCCACACATAAGCGGCAGTGGTGGCTACAATACAAGCAGCACATTTATAACACTTATCAAATCTTCCCGGTTTTAGGAGTCAGTTTAGTTGAAAATGGCAAACTGTGCTTACCCGCAAGACGTATTGCGGCTATTGTTGCTATCTGACGATTGTTTGCTTTTGAAGAAAACTTAGTAGGTATTCAGAAAAAACTTATCCCTTACTTCGTCCCATACTTTTCTGGCGACTGGAGATTTCTCATCCCATTGTAAAATTTGAAGCTTGTTTTTTATGTTGGTGGCACTTAGCACTAGTGTCAAAAAAAAATTTGTTTCCACTCTTTTATGGTTAATTTTATGTTTTACTGATTGGTTATATAACTAAAGGACGAGTTATTGTTTATAATTAGGCTATACCGTTGTATTTAGTTAAACAAGGTTGTAAATTACTGAAATGAAAAGAAGAAAAAAATGTAAATAAAAACTCGATCCTAGCAGCACAGCACGGAACCAACAATATAATTGTCTTCAGCTATTCTATAAGAATGTGAAAGCGAATAATGCTCCTTTAACATTAAGTTATACAGTTTTCAGGATTTTTTTAGTAGGCCTAGTGTAAAGGGAGGATAGAAACTCTTGCGCTCTTGCAAGTAAATCGTATGTTTGTTGCGTATGTAGTTAAATGCAAGCTTTCATACAGCACAGTTTTTAATCAAACGGGAGCTCACAAGCCAGTAAAAATAGATCAGTTGTTATGTTTGATTATCCACCCCAACCGTGCAACTGATAAACTTAAGCCATAATTTTTATTTTACAGAGGCCCAAAAGGGGTTTGGACTTTGGAAGCTAAGGGAGAGAAGCCAGATATAAACATATCATTCAACGATGCCATTCCTACCAAAACTCACATGGCGTTGGCCAAGCTTGTTGAAGTTGGTAAGATTTAAGATTAAATGCTTTTTACAATCCATAACCTAATGTGGGCTAGTAATGATTCATGATAACTGTTTAGATCAAGAAAACTCAAGAGGCATTAACCTACTTTAGTAGCAAACATTTTTTAAATTCATTGTAGTAGCCCTGGAAATGTAATAATGACTAATATTGGTTTTATATTACCCACGATTACTAGAAAAATACCGTTATGGATCATAAACATCAACAAATGACGTTTTTGGCCCGAAAATAAACATTATTTAACATTGGTTAAATGGAACTGCTAAAACATATGTTCAATGCTACTAATAGCCTATACTAATATAGGATTCGGGCCAACAACGTCATTTTGTTTATGTTTATGATCCATACGGGGTATTTTTCTAGTAATCGTGATATTACCTGTCGTCAGTTCCAAATTGTAACTTTTGTCAATGCTACATGTTTTGGCGAACTGCCATTTTCAAGCATATAGTCCAGGAATGTACATTAATAAAACCGCTTGTTTCATCGTTGGTTAACACACGACATATAAATAAATAATACTTTTAGTTGGATAGGCATATCAGGGGTACAAAAAATTGCCTTTACACGACCGGGAACAGACCAACTTTAGTTGATAGGCCTATCCAACTAAAAGTATTATTTATTTATGTGTCATGTGTGTAAACAAACAATAAATCTATACAAGCGGTGTTTTCAGTGTACATTACTGGACTGTATGCTTGAAAATGGCAGTTCGCCAAAACATATAGTATTTACAAAAGTTACAATTTGGAACTGACAACAGGTAATATAAAACCAATGTTTAGTAAATATTTGTATCTATTCTGTACAGTGCCCAGGTTAATTAGAAACAACAAAAATTAGTTAATTAACATGTTCCAGCAATATTATCCATTGACCAGCAAATTCATATTAATTGTTAACAGTGGATTTGACACTGTCGTATGGCCAAGGGGCCACTACTGCTAGAAACGCTACTGTAAATTCCATTTTATAGACCTGGCTACAATGAAAGTGTAGGGAAAACAAGGTAATGAAACACATACTGTAATGCAAAGATCACAGAAAAATATTTTATTTGCAGATATATTTGATTACAAACTGGTTCAATGTGACTAAACGTGTGAAACAAGTGAGTTAAAAAAATAAATAGTAACAAATAATTAGACAGAATAATTAATTATAATCAAATGAGGAATAACTTAATTTGGTCTATTTTTGGGAGGTGGAAACCTTTTAATGCAAAAGTAAATTTATAAAAAATACTATCTTAGCAAAACTATTTAGCATTTTCCATAACCAATACATTTGCAATGTTGCGATGAATGACATTTTGTAAACATCTGGCAATCTACTGTTAAGCTCTGTACAGTAAAACCTCACTAGCTCGACACACCGTAACTTGAGAGTCTGCGTAACTGGACAAGGCAACAGCTGATAAGGTGCTAGCAAATAAAAGCAATTATACATTTTTTATGTAAAAGCTAGTCTGTTATACAGGGTAAACAGCCAAACTCCGGGAAATGGTTCTATGGGTCAAAATAAAGAGAAAATCAAGAATAAGATGTTTTCCAAAATCGCTTCGTTAACCAGATATCCACCATTGTGTATTTTTTTTATAAACATTTTTAATTTTTAATTATTCAACCGATCTTTATAAAACTTGGTATGTAGGTATTTAAGAGCCCCATGTTAGAAAAAAAAATCATCTTGATTCAACTTAAAATTTCAAAATGGCGGCCAGTTTAATTTTTATAACTTTTACTCAAAAACGGCTAATTTTATGAAAAATACCAAGAACACTTTTATTTACCATTTTTAATGCGATACCAAGTTCAAAACGATCGAATAAGAAATAGCTTAAATATTATGATTTTTAGTTGTAAAATGGGTTAAACCTGACTAGCTTCTGCCTTATTCTACCCCATTTTGCAAAATCGTAATATTTCAGCTATTTTCTATTCAACCTTTTTGAAGTTGGTATCGTTTATAGGGGATTGAAAATGCTAAATAAAAGTGTTCTTGGTATTTTTTCATAAAATTAGCCGTTTTTGAGTAATTTAAGTTTAAGAAATTAAAATGGCCACCATTTTGAAATTTTAAGTTGAATCAAGATGATTTTTTCTCACATGGGGCTTTTCTACCTTAATCTACATACCGGTACCAAGTTTTATAAAGATCGGTTGAAAAAATCCAAAAATAAAAATGTTAATAGCCTATAAAAGATACAAAATGGCGGATATCTGGTTAACAAAGCGATTTTTGAAAAAACGTATGAAAAAAACAGCCGGAGTTTGGCTGTTCACTTACACCCTGTATATTCATTTATAAAACCCATTAAAAATTTCAATGTTCTGGATAACTTGATAATCTTTAGATCCACAATGTTTGTTTTACTGTAGCACATAAGTAAAAAATTAAATCAAGTACGTTACTAAATTTACCGAAACTAATATATAAGTAACATCTACACGACTAAGTGAAGCTACATAGCTTATAACTCTAGTTTCTACGGTTTTTGAGATTTGTTTCAAGCAGTTTTGGTTCGATTCCTCCTCTGGACTAGAATCAGGATGAGAGGAACAAGAGTGCACATCATCTGTAACAATAGCTTCAAGTTTGAAAAAGTAGTCCAGTAAACAAACCAGAGTACATTTTTGGATGTACAGTACAACCCTGCTAATCCAACACCCACAGGACCCAGACCATGGAACAGTGAAAAGGTTGAATTGTCGGAGGAGCATATTAAATTACCAAATTAATTACTTAACTGACATTTATTGACTGTGAAAAGACGATGATAATGTTCTCGTGACTGCTGGAGATGCTAAATATTTTGCCACAATCTTGGGAGGCGATTACCACTGTTTCCGTGATTAAGGGACACATTCAAGATTTTGCTACTGTCAGGGAAGACGACAATGATGTTTCCTGAACCACAGGAGATGCTTAGGAGTTTGCAGCGATCGTAGATAACAACGATAGTATCTGTAATTGCTGGAAACGATGATAATAGAGAGATGTTCAAGATTATTCTGCAATTGGCGAAGGCAATGAGGATTTTTTTTCTTGACCGTGGATTTGTCTAGGATTTTTCCACGATTGCAGAAGGACGATGATAATGGAAAAGGATGATGTTTCTGTGATCGCGGAGGATACAAGATTTTGCCATCATTGCGGGTGACGGTGATGATCTCCTCAAGGCCATGGGAAATAGTCAAGATATTACTGTGAAATATTTTTACCAATAGGCCATGGCACGGTTGGATAAAGCAAGTATTCAACTAGCCGAGGTCAGATTTGGGGGGTTTACTATTGATTCCACTTGTCTTGAAATGAAAAAGATTGATGTCTTAGACTATTTTAAGATATCTACATAATTTAAAGATAATTTTTAGTATCTATTTGATATGATCAGGGCGAAATATATCTCTTGTACATCTATTTGCCCTTCTTTAATTTTAATATTTATGAGGTGCTGTAGAACACTGAGTTAACCGTTCCTTTTAGATCCAGTTACATTAATTAGTTATGTTTGGTTTTATTCCTTTTCTGTAATCCCTGACTAATATAACCATAGTACAGATTCATAACCAAAAGCTAGGCTTATTCTAAGCTTATACAAACCCTTACAAATCTAAAAAAATTCAAACTATTTTAAAACTTTTTGCCCCAAAATAGTTTAGCTATTGGAATAAGACAATTTTAGAAACCTATTTATTTAGGTAACGTTTATGATGTAACAGAAGCAACCAAATAACTGAGTCATGATTAAAAAGAAAATGTTTTTATTCTATACCCAACAAACGTTCACACAAAGAGTTTTGCATAGTCCTAAGTTCAGTGCCTGCTTTCAATACCATACCACTGTTTCTTACAGGTGTATACCTACTTAAGATTCAGTTAATAAATACCCTACAAATTATACCTAAACAGATCTAATTTTAAATATTTTATACAGATCACTTATTATCAATGTATTTTCAGAATATCATATTTAAAACATTTGAATCATCAATAGAATTAAAAATTTCTAGTTTACCTTCGTTAAAATCTTCAGGTCCAAAATGAAGAATCCTTCGGCCGAAAGTTGAACTTTCCGATGTTTCAGAATGTGGGAAAAAAACTCCAACTGTAAATCATATAAAACATAATTATTTAACCACAATAGTTAAAAAAAGCAATCATAAATGATTTTTTGAGTCTTTAATGGAGTGAATCAGTTCACGAGTAAAGTAAACATGGCCGATTTATTCTCAGGGCAAATAACTCATAAGGGAATGACTGTGTTACAATGGAATGTGTTACAATTAGAAGAAAATATTTGTTATTTTTTTACCAAATTTGAATTTTTTACAAGTTTTAAGTCAAAGGTATAGTGACTCAATAACAGTCAGTTTACTTGAAATTTACAACATAAATGTTGATCTTATGTGATTGAATCTATCTTTGAGTGTGGTCTCACTTTTCATAAGTAGGTAGTCAGGTAGTCTACCAACAGGTGTTTCATGAAGTATACAGAGAAATTTCAATCTAATTTCCTGATTACGGGTTTAAAATTGTGAACAAGTGTTGTTTTAGTCATACCACATGTTTGTATTGATTTTTTTAAATGGAAAATTGTTGAAAATACTTTGCTTTTTTAACAGTAGGCCTAATTTGAAATATCTTGCTGTCAAATATTCCTCTAGAATAATTCCATTCAAAGATGATTTTATATAAATTTAAAATACTTTGTATAGTAATTCAAAAAGTAATGGGATGACAATTGTGTTTGGTTTAAAGCCACAACATGAAACTTATCATTAAGGTTTCTCTAAACTTACCTCTTGCTCAATTTCAAAGGGGTGATCTTCTACAAGGAGTTCATGGATCAAGTAGCCAGTTTTTAGGGACTAAAACATAATAATACATTATATGAGTTTGTTTTGTGACTTTTAATACCTATAGAGGTTTATAGAGGCTTCACTTGTCAATTATTTCAATTTGCTTGAAATGTCTAGATTGTCTAAGTAAAAGTAGTACTGCACCTAAATAATATAATTACAATTGTCTCGGAAGCTGGTGGTAATAGTGCTAGCCTTCAAATCTGAAGGTTACTAGTTCAATTCCAAGTGATAACTGTTCTAGACCCAGGCGGTGTTCGTCTTATTGCTATCAATATATTTATCATGCCATCTTAATAGAGGTCGACATGCAGCAACATGTAACTAACAACAAAGTAATACTTTAATATTAAATGGGATTAAAGAATACGAAGAGACTCGTGCACAAATTTCACATTTTTATAGGGCTAAAAACCTGTTTTTGAGGCAAAACAAAAAAATGCAATATCCAATTACTTTTATGGTCATGTTTGTTTAGGATAGTTATTAGGTGAATAAAACCATAGACTAACCAACACAAGTAGACTTCTCATCCCATTGTAAAATATTAAAGCTTGTTTTTCAAGCTTTAAAATGAAACATAAACCATAAATATTGGTAAAGTAGGATGAGTGAAAAAGGTTTGTTTCAGAGAAAACTGCTTACAGATAACTAAAAGCGGGTAACCCACTAAAGAACTACAAGGCTAGATGTTCAAACAAGCCGCTGATAGTTAACAGAATGTCAGTCAACAAAATTACTACTAGAGCAACACTTACATTGTTCTTGGCATTGGTGGCCGAGGTGAGAAAAGAGATGAACATGACCAGGTAGAGAATACCGTAGACGATGTGAACTATGTAATGGCCGAAATCAGAGACAATGATGAACATGCGAATGAATATGAAGCAGGTGGTGAGAGGCATCAATATCCCGGGGGTAGAGTATAGCTCGTTGATCACGCGGTGAGCATCGCAAAGTCGAAAATGAGCCTCATTGAATTTGTGGATCTCGTCGACAGTGATGCAGGCAAACGCCATCTTAGGCTTGGGGATAGGTTTCTCCCTGTGAATCTTGAAGGTAAAATCTCCAGTGCAGCCGTCTTTCCTGATAGCGTCTAGAGTCTGCTCACATACCACCTCCAACCGATCGTTAAGTGCTTCAAAATTCTTGTGGATGAGCAACAGCATCATCTTGCCTTTGATCAGTGTGGCGAACGACACGGTCATGACGGCAGCGATGGCTGTGGTTTGGTAGAAAGTGTGTGTGTAGCCAATACAGCAGGCCACGACAAGACTTGGTGTGATGATGAAGAAGCCGATGTAGCATTGCTGGACCATCTTGCTCAAGACGACAGGCTCTGTTATATCCAAGGAGTACATGACTTTCTGCGTCTCCTCCAAGATCTGGAAGAACCTGACGATGGCGTCGGGTCGGATCAGAGGAGTGAGAATTGCAAGGGAATGTGTCAGCCACTGAGTGATGGTGCTGACAACGTGGATGAAGACAAAAATGTCTCGATCGTTGTTGTAGTAGTGGATCATGAAAGTGATCAGATAGTAGAGGGGGAAGAAGATCAACACAAAGTGTGGCACTTTCTTCGTCCAAGGGATGAAACTAGTGTGTCGTGTGTTGGGGCAAACCCCACAGAGGTCGAGGATTTGGAAGGTCGTTTCAAGAAAGTCTGCAGAGTTTTTTTCCATTTTGCTTTCAGGTCCCACTGGAATTTGTCCTTAAGTTGGTCTGATACTCAATTAAATTGCTATGAAAACCATATCAAGTTGAGTAGTTGAAGTATTACTACTTAATTTGATCAATATTCCTAATGTTAAAAAAATGTCAAATTTCATATTACATTATTGTGTCATATTACATCAGTAGATGTCATGTGAAGAATACTTAAAGTAATCAATTATGTAATGTATTACATTATTGATATTATAAAGTCATAGCTTCCGTAACTAAATAAACAATTAACTGTTGAAACTAAACACTTAAAATGATATTGTTATTCTTGCTGAGTGTACAACAAATATTTCTTAACTATAAATCTTATATATTAAAAAAATACCCCTGCTGCAGTAAACCTGCCGACTAAGCGAATTTCCATTTATCTGAATGAATTGATTTTCAATTAAATCTATTTAAATTACATTAATTTTAACGAGTACCTAGGTTTGCTGCTTCAAGGAAACTAATAAAGTGTGTTTTTTTTTAGTAAAATACTGATAGCTTAGTATAAAATGGATAAATTTGCCAAGTTTGATCTAAATGTATCCATAAACAAGCAAACCACATCATTTTACAATACTCTCCAAAAGAATAACACAAGGAATTTTAAATTTACAATTTTTTGAATTTTTTCCGTTACCAATAACCGTACAAAAACACTTTGATATAGGCCTACTAAATTATTTGTTTTTTTAAGCTTTTTAAAATGGTCTAGAGAGAAATTGGGCAATTTTGTGTTTTGAGGGTAAAAAATTAGAAAAACCTATTTTTACCCCATAAAACCATGATGTGGTAAAATCCCGTCCCTTGGTCCGATCATATATATTTAATTGAGTTCGCGAACTCAATTAAGTTAAGTTTATCCCGCCTTACACCTTTAAACCAAATTTCATCAAAATCAGACAAAAATTACTCAAGTTAGTTCACGGATATCTTACTAATATTATAAATGTGAAAGTTTGTGTGTTTGTTTGTTTGAAGTTCAATCACGCATAAACCACTGGACGGATTGGGCTGAAATTTGGCATGATGATAGCTCAAATTCCCGATTAACATATAGGCATATTCTCATCTCAAAAATCCTTTCGAGCTCCGCCTCAGTGGCTCTGCAGTTCCCCATGTTAACCTTATGAGTATTCATTTTTAAAGGGAATTAAAGAATTTAGTCAGGTGTATCAACTAAAAAAGTTGGTTCTATGATATACAAAAGCATTAAAAAGTTATAATATTTACCAACAGGGCGCAGCACTATAATTTTTTTAGCATTTATGTAAACAGCTAATTTGAACTAAGCAGCAACAAAAAACTGTGATACGCAATAAGAACTGTAAAAGTAGGATTGTTTACAGTTTTTTTTTTATGTAATAAATAATTTGTGATTTTTTGAGAATTTTTAATAATTTTTTTATTGTTTAGGATAAGTGTTAGAACATTATGTTTATGGTAGATATATAATACTTTAGTATACCGACAATTTAAAGAAGCAAATGATATAAAACTGTGTCCTCCCCATTACAAACGCAAAGCTTGAGTATAACTGCAATACGCATTTTAAACTTATATGCCAACTCCGTACGAAGGACGGGTAATCTGCTAGTATATATATATAAACAAATTTGAAAGAATGGTGTTTTTGGCCTCTGAGGACATCAAAATGAAAAAGTGAATTGGTCCCAAGCCTAGGTATTACCTTGCCACCTACAGTAACAGCTACTGCTACTACCTATAGGGAAATTCGCTAAAACTTTTGCAAAACTTATGACAGCTAGCCTGACCATACTACTGGACCGAATTACACACGGATGGTACCAAATGAAATATACTTTCCTTTAGCTGTGCAGAATCCCTTTATAAATTAAAATAGACTCACAAATAATGAGAAACTAACCCTAAAATAACAGAAACAAATTGTAAACAAAACACAACATCTACAGAAAACCGGACAGAACTAACAATAAAATTGCCTTCAGTTGTTCTATAAGGATGGGAAATCTACTAAGAGGCTATGTTTTATCTATGATAGTATCAAGACCAGAGTTTGACGTACGATGATAAATCATTTACAAAGAAAACACCTCAATATAATATTCTTATTTCTTTGCCAAAAGACTGTTTTCTTATATAGATAAAATATTATATAGTCAGATGTTTTTAAATTGTTTTTGGTTAAAAACAAATAAGAGTTTTAGTTGTTGTTTTAATGTAATAAAGAAGATGGTTTTTGTTAACACTTATTTTGTCATTTTTTTTTTATGTTTAATCGTCCGTGATATCAAATCAATTGAATCACGTATATTGACGATATCAATTGGCGACCGTGACAGGACTTTTAATTAAGAAATGACAAAATTAGGAGTTGAAGATTTGACAACTGAAATGCTGGAGAAAGGCCTGGAAGAAAGTGAGGAGAAGGAGACAGGAAGCAAAGCCTACGAGCTTCGACCACGGGTAGGACAAAATACCCAGTTGGTAGAACAAATATCACAACCTGACCCGGTGAGTACTCTACTGTCCAAAATTTCAGAGAAACTAGATATCCAATCTGAAAAACTTGACACACAGTCGGCAGATATTACTGAGAAACTTGACACACAGTCGGCAGATATTAATAGTAAAATGTCATCATTTATGGAACAAATTTCTCACAACTATTCAAAATTAGACAAAAGAATTGAATCATTGGAGTCAGATGTTGTCGTGACCATTGATAAAATTACAAAATTAGAAACAAATTTCGATGGTAACTCTGATAAATTAAATGAATTGGAAACTAAAATTGATTACATGGAAACTAAATTTCACAATAAAATTCAAGCTATCGGAACACAGATATCCTCACAGGAAAAGACAATTACTTGGAATAATCCAGAGTACCAACCATCATTCATGCCTGCTGTGGATCCCAAAATTATAAAAGACAGCTTACCGGAATTTCACGGCAGGTTAGAGGAATGTCCCACAGCGTTTTTAGCTACTAGTGAGCCAACAGTTGAGAGGTTCGGCAGGTACTTGGTGGCAAAACATTAAGGGTCTAAGTCTAGAATGGGACACATTCAAACATGAGTTTATGCAGAGATTTAATTCAGAGGCTGTCAAAGCATTAATCACTAAGAAATTCTTGACGGATGTTCAACCTAGTGGCATGAGAGCTGGGGCATTTGTTATTCAAAAGTTACAGTTGTTTAAGAGGATGAATGATGGTGGGAGTATTGACGAGAGTGTTACTTATATAATGGAACTTTTACATGATAAGATTAGGTCTCTAGTTAAGGTAGCTCAACCGAAATCATTTGACGAACTCAGGAGTATAGTAGCAAAGCTAGACGAAGAGGTAAGCTTTTATCCCTCAAAAACCAGAACTTCGAACCCTGATAACTCCTTTAAATGTTATCAATGTGGGCAAACTGGGCATGTGAAGGCCCGTTGTCCGGAAAACTAGACCAGAACCGTTCTAATAGGGGCGAGAATGGTTCTAGAAGAGTTTCTAAGTCCCAAAACTACCAGTCAGAAAAAACTTATATTGGTCAAATTTCTAGTGAGAGTGTGGGTAATCCCCGTCCGGCAATTTGTATACAGATTGGTGACAAATATTATACTGCAGCCCTTGATACTCAGGCATCACATTCGTTTATTGGCATGACGGTGGCTAAATTGTTAAAACCTGTTTGTCCAGACGGTGTAACTGCTGTCAAAGGTGCAGTACAAGATATAAATTACAAAATCGAAGGATTTACTTTTCTTGAAGCCAAATGTTCTCAAGAATCTATTCACATTCCGGTAAAAGTGATTAAGGATTTAATCCCGGAAATCATACTAGGGCATGATTTCCTTGTTAAATACGGTGTGTTGATAGATTACACAGCAAATGAAATATTTTTTGGCATTAAAAATAGAGTTAGATTGGGATGGTTAGAGGACAAACACTTTGATTTGGGAACAGAATTAGAAAACAACGTTTTGGATGAACTGAAAACGGGAATTTTGGATCTTAATCAAAGAACAGACTTGATTAATTTACTCAGTATCTTTCCAGAGGTAATTACAGACAGAATTGGGTTCACTACTACGGTAAAACATATGATCTCTTGTAAAGATAACACACCTGTCAAACAGAAACCTTACCCTCTTAACCCGGACAAACGGAAGTTTGTCATAGAAAAAGTAAAGGAAATGGAAAATCAAGGACTAATTGAACCGTCATCTTCAGGATGGGCTTCACCAATAGTATTACCCAAAAAGAAGAACGGAGACTACAGACTTTGTGTGGATTTACGTCAAGTCAACAATAAAACTATTGCTGATGCTTACCCAATGCCTGATCTACGACATCTGATTAAGCAAGTTAGTGGGGCCAAAGTATTTAGCACTTTAGATTTGAATTCTGGCTATTGGCAAGTAGAAGTAGAAGAATCATCTCGGCCTATGACAGCTTTTTCAACACCAAGGGGACTATATCAATTCCGTGTTATGCCCTTTGGATTGAAAAATGCCCCAGCAACATTCATGCGTCTGATGGACAAAGTTTTGCCAGGTTATGTTGGTGAATTTTGTCAAGTTTATTTGGACGATATACTAGTTTACAGCAAAACATTTTCTGATCATTTGGAACATTTGGCAAGAGTATTAGAAAGATTGAAAATTCATGGACTTACCTGTCAGGTGAAGAAATGTCACTTTACGTCCAACTCAGTAGAATATTTGGGTCATGTGTTAACAGACAAAGGATTAGAGAGGCAAACTGAGAAAAACAAGGCTATTGAAGAGTACGAAAGACCTGGTACGAAGCGTAAAGTTCGACAGTTTTTGGGCCTTTGCGGTTGGTACAGTTGTTTTGTACCTCATTTTGAATCCAAGGTTTCACCTCTAACTGACCTTCTTCATCAAAATAAACCTTTTAAATGGACAGAGACGGAAGAGAAAGCCTTCAGGGAGATAAAGAGATCCATCTGTGACTCTCCGGGATTAGCCTATTTGGACCCCAGTCGGGAAATATGCTTACAGACAGATGCCAGTAATGTAGGTCTTGGGGCTGTTCTCTTTCAAGAGCGGATAGAAGGAGGCAAGGATATCATTGAATATGCAAGCAGGAAACTTTCCCTTTCTGAGAAAAACTATTGTACAGCTGAAAAGGAGGCTCTAGCGGTAGTGTGGGCAGTAGGAAAATTCAGGGGGTATCTCGAGGGAAGAAAATTTAAATTATTCACTGATAATTCATCGCTACAGTGGTTGAACAAAGTATCTGGGACCAAGTCAAAACTGATGCGATGGTCTTTAATGTTGGCTGATTTTGACTTTGAAATACATCACGTCCCAGGAGAGTTAAATCAAGCCGCTGATAGCTTGTCAAGAAACCCGGTAGACAGTGGTGAGATATCCAAAGAATTCATGGAGAGGGAAGTTCCAGTCCCAATGAAGTTAAGACATATTGAGCCTGTTCTTATGGTGGCACAACGGGAAAATTGTGACATTGACTTGGAACTGGTAAAGAAATGGCAGAATGAAGATGCAGCTTGTAGTAGAATGAAATCCTGGATAACCAAACGTTACACTAATTCTGAAGCTGTCCCATTCCAGTTCAAGACATGCTATAAGAACCTTCGCTTGGAAGACAGTTTACTTATGTACAAATCTCATCTATCAGAATCTTCTCCTGTGATTGTAGTTCCGAAGTCTCAGGCTATAAGGATTCTAGAGAAGTACCACGACAGCCCTGAAGCTGGCCATCCAGGACAAGACGAGACCTACACCTCGATTCGGCGTCGTTTCTTCTGGGTAAATATGCATCGGGACATCAAGAACTACGTCCAATCCTGCACTATCTGTGCCTGTACCAAGGCTAACAACCAAAAAGCTAGTACAAGCATGAGAGGACGTCGGCCACACCAGCCGTGGGAGGTTGTTGCTCTAGATCTTATGGGACCATATCCCAGAACATCTCGAGGGAAGACTGGAATTTTGGTGGTGACAGACCTTTTTACCAGGTGGGTCGAAGCACTTGCCGTTCCTGAAGCTACGTCGGGAAGAATTCTACAGATCCTACGAACAGAGGTCTTTAGTCGTTATGGTTATCCACGATGTCTTCTCACAGATAATGGCAGTCCGTTCACGTCAAAACAATGGTTACGGAATCTAAATGAATGGGCTATTGAACACTGGACAACGCCAATCTACCACCCTCAGGCAAATCCTACTGAACGGAGAAATCAGGAGCTTAAGAAGCTGTTTAGGATTCATTTGTTTGACAAAGAACATACCAAATGGGATCAACACTTGCATGAGTCTCTCCTTGCCATCAGACAGCGAGTGAATCGCGTCACAGGCTTCTCCCCAGCAGAACTTTTTCTTGGTCGGGAAATAAAAAGAACTGGGGATTGGAACTTCATGCATGAAAACTCTCCTGAAACTATGAATTTGACTGCATGGCATGAAGAAAACGTGAAACAAATCAAACATATGAATCGACAAGCTGAAGAGAGTTCGATGAGGGAAGCTGAGAGAAACGATGTACCTGAAGAGCAGGACCTGAAACCGGGTACGTTGGTTCTTCGGCGAAACCATCCCTTGAGTAGTAAGCTTAAAAATGTGCATGCAGGGATGGCACGGAAATGGCTTGGACCTTTTGAAGTGGAACACAAGCTAGGGAAGGGAGTGTACCTCTTGAGGTCTGATCCACCAATTAAGGTACACATGTCGGAGTTGAAATTACTTCCGCAAACTCTCCGTGAACAAACTCAAGCCGAAGATGATGAACAAGAAGCAGAAGACCATAACAATGCATCACCTGTGTATAACTTAAGGTCTAGAAAGAGGAAGATTTAAAATATATTGAGGGTTTTGGGGGGGATGATTGACGTACGATGATAAATCATTTACAAAGAAAACACCTCAATATAATATTCTTATTTCTTTGCCAAAAGACTGTTTTCTTATATAGATAAAATATTATATAGTCAGATGTTTTTAAATTGTTTTTGGTTAAAAACAAATAAGAGTTTTAGTTGTTGTTTTAATGTAATAAAGAAGATGGTTTTTGTTAACACTTATTTTGTCATTTTTTTTTAATGTTTAATCGTCCGTGATATCAAATCAATTGAATCACGTATATTGACGATATCAAGTTAGGTGTTCAAAAGATAAAGGTTAATTACCATGACATTGAATACAAATAATAAAAACTAATTTAGTTTAATTCATAATTCCATACAGTAATGACCTGTAGTTTTGGATTAAAATTTCCAAAATGTTTAATAAACTTCTTGATCGAGTTGTGTCCTGAAAATTTTCATGGCGACCTTCATATTTTATAATGCACATAGACTACAATTTTGAGAATTAAGGAGACAAAGGACAGGATAGAAACGTTTGTCTCCTTAATTCTCAAGTAATAAGTCCTTTCTAATCAAACCTAGACTACAATTTTGGTTAGCGAACAAATTTGGTTTAGGCCCACTGTGAACCATTTCTAGTGTTTTTAATGCAATCTATATTTTTAGGGAAAGTGCAATACATAGTGAGTCAGAACATTGATGGACTTCATCTAAGATCTGGTCTTCCTCGGAAAAATCTTGCAGAACTGCACGGCAACATGTTTATCGAGCAGTGTGCCTTATGTAACCGGTAAGAATTATTGTTAATGTAAAATAATTAATACATGTTCAACCATCCATCCAGTTACAGTAGTCCTATACTCATAAACGTTTGCTACCGCATTTACTGAATTTAAAGACTATTAATTTTTGACAATTTGCAAACTGTTTATCCCAGTCTAGAGTTTATCCTAGACATAAAGGTCACAGGTCTTATACTAAACTGGCCTACAGGCACCAGCATTTTTTTTCCTGAATTTGTAACAAAATGTTCTTAGATTTTAAAAAACCACGTTAAAGTTTGTTTTTCATTTAAAATCAAATTAACCAAAATAATTTTCTTAAAAACTGGCAATCACACAAAACTACAATAGACGTTGGCCATCAGCGATCTCGCTGCTACCAGAGCAGTGCCCCGCGTCAGACACCCAGCGTCTCAAGAGTCAGGCGCTTCTCGGACAACAGGAAGAATATATTCTCATTGGAAATTGTCAGTAAAAAGCCTGCTGTTCAACCTATCAAGATGCACCACAAAATCCAGTTTCCTGAATCCTGGCATAAAGCCAATTTTACCAAATAATGTCAAAATTTTATCTATTTACTGTGAGGTTGCTCATAGTGTACGTCATAAGTATTACCATGTTATTTGTTTAAACCAACGTAGACATTGTTGCAAGGTTGCTAAAACCCTGGAGACTTATTCGTGCAAACTAATAATTGAATTGTCATTTTGATTTTCTTAGCTTTTTGGACACTTATGAGATTTAAGCTAAACTGGGGTACGTTGCTAGACTAGTGTTTAGCAACTCAGGCTTCTATGTGAGAGGGGCGGGTTTGATTCCTGGCAAATCCACAAAAAAGGTATAGGTTTGGACTGCTTTCCAACAAAATCGTTTGTGATACCTTCTTAAAAATCTCACTGATGTAGATACCAATGAGAAAAGTCTAAAGGAGTTGTTACTGTGTGACTTATAATATTGATTATAGGCCTACAGTATTATGACTAGCTTTGAGAGTGAAAAGTTCCAAGTTTTCACTAGCCAGTGAGTCCGTCCTTCGCGCAAGGACCGTGTAGTAAGTTAAAATCTTGTTTAATTTTTATAACAGCTGCTATTTTATTTTACACATCTAGAAGCAAATTGTTCATCCTTGTTTCCTCGTTGTTGCACAGAAAAGAAAATGCTGAAGCCCTGTCCTAATTGTGGTTTTCTCATTGTTGAACAGACAGTTTGTGAGGAATGGTGCTACTTCGAGTGTTGGACAGAAGTGTTTGCTGAAGCCGTGCCCCACGTCACGGCTCAATGGACGTCCGTGTCGTGGCCGGCTGCATGACACAATACTGGACTGGGAGGCGAGCCTGCCAGAGAACGACTTGGGAATGGCTGATTTCCACTCATGGTGAGTAATTGATGCTGTTTCCAATTCCTAGCTCGTTTGTGTTAGTGACACATACTTTCTCCCATTGGCTTGTCAACAACCTTTATCATGGGTAAGCGATGAGAGTAACTAACTATGACATTTAATAGGTAAAATCACAAAAGTTTAATTTCATTAGCTTTTGAACAGTAATTTTTACAGGAATGGGGGGTTGTACTATTTTGTTTAGAATTATAAGGACCATAACAGACAAATTTAAATCAAAATCTTTTTTTAATCCTTTTTTCCATTTTTCATGGGTTTTAATGGGAAAATAACATAAGCTATAATAACTTTTGAACCACAATTTTTACAGCAATGGGGCGTTACACTATGTTGTTAAGAATTATAAGTATTATCACATACTAATTTCAATCAAAACTGGTTTTTTTTAGCGAATTTCCCTATAGGGAAGTAGCTATTACCGTAGGTCTCATGGTAAGACCTAGGCCCGGGACCGATTTACTTTTTCATTTTGATGTCCCCAGAGGCCAAAAACACCATTCGTTAAATTTTTATATATGTATATATATATATCTACATTTTTATATTTTTGAGGAGATCTTGATAGAGTTTATGATAAATGAAACATGAAACATTGAAAATTTTTTTTAAATACAAACATTTCCAAGCAAAGAGAATTTAATGAAAAATGTATAAATGAACAAAACAAACAAATAAATATGAACTGTTTACAAATAGTTGTGTTTTGAGAACATATGATTGCGTATAGATCAAAGAAAATAATAACATCAGCCTAAAAGAAAAATTCAGCTGAGTTGAATCCTTTTTTACTATCCAGAGGGGAACTTTGTTTTCAGTACCAACTGGTGAGCCAATTCAGAATTTCTTAAAACAGTTTGTTGCATTTAGGGTTTTGATGTGGGTTTACTTTGTGAAGGGCTTTAAGGGTATAGCAGCCTTCAAAATTTTGGTTGTGGTGAGCATATAGATTGGTTTTCTTTTGTCTTCATGTACCACATCAAAACGATGGCCTGTCATTCAAACTCTTAAAGAGTTTGAAGTCTGGCCAATGTACTCTTTTGGACAATGTTTACACGATAGTTGATAAATCACATTGTGAGATTCACAAGTTGATCTACCAACAATCGGATAAACCTTGTTTGTAACTTTACTATCAAATTTAGTTGTATTACTCATAATTTTGCAAATACCACATCGGGGCTTGTGACATGGTTCACAGCCGTGTTTAAAATTGTTTGAAGGCCGAGAATTTTAAATTTTGGGTCTCACCAACATATTTTTTAAATTTTGTGGCCTTTTAAAAATAACACGTGGTGGTCTGGAAAATAAATTTTCAGTACTGGGGGAAGATTTCAAAATATTGAATGCTACTTTCATTACACTGTTAATCTTTTGTAGCCCAGGATAGTATTGAGTAATAAATTTAGGATCACTTGAAAAACTATTATCTTGGTTGAGTTTTTTTGGGTTTTTTGATCTGATTGGATATTAGTTTTTGAGGATAGCCTCTTTCAATGAAAGCAGAATTCAATTCAGTGATATATATTTCAAAATCAGATTTTTCACTACAGGGTGTTTTAGCACGAATTGATAAGCTTGATTTTTTTTTAATTGATTTTTTCATATACATAGGGTGAAACTTTGATAATGTAAGTACTGAATTTTGTTAGTTTCTTTTAAATGAATTTTTGTTTTAAGTTTTTGATTATCAATGAAGACATCAACATCTAAGAAAAAAAAATGTTGTCTGAATAATTCCAAGTAAAATTCAAGCAAGAAAATTGGTTTAAATCTTGTAGAAATTCTTTTAGTGAATTTATTCCGTGTTGCCTTGCCGAACAATAAAGATATCATCTATAGGTCATCTAGGTTTAAGACTGCAATTTTGTTTAGAAAGTCGTTAGTGTCTTTTATGTAGGATGGTAAATTTTGTAAATCAAGACCACCGCAAGGAAGACCAATTGTCTCAAGTATTGGATCACTAACTGAAAGAATCAACACGGAATAAATTCACTAAAAGAATTTCTACAAGATTTAAACCAGTTTTCTTGCTTGAAATTTACATGGAATTATTCAGACAAAATTGTTTCTTTTTGAGTATTATACTCAGTGGTAAGACCTAACAATCTATATATTCTAAAATGTCCTTTGAAGTTATACTTACTTTTTACCATACTGGTCCAAGTAAAAAATCCCTCCAAATACCTATCACAAACATATTGTGATAGGTATTCCCTTAAATCCCCTAAATCCCTTGATCTAAACCTAATATAGATAAGTAAAATATAATATCGCTTTACATGTTATCTATAAAATAAAAATATTTATTAGATTCAAAATAGTTATTAATATATAGTATTAATGCTTATTTGGTCAAGAGAAAAGTATTCATATTTTTTTGTTAAATCAGGCAATTTATTAGTCTTTAATAATTTGTACAATTGCAACTGTTGTTTCTTCTATTTCAAAATGTCACAAATATTGAACTTTTGTAATTCTCTAGATAAGTTATTGTATAGCTCTTTTTCTGCGACCGCTTTTATTTTCTTGTTTAAGTGGTTTATCACCCAGTCTCCTAGTTTGCTTACTATTTTGTTTAAAACTCCAGGTGCATTTTTAATTTTTATATCAATATCATAACCTCCGAGTTCTGTTATTTTAATATGGTCTAGATTAGCCTTACATTTCACTCCGTCATCAAATAGTGATATTTGTCCATTGATTGAATTTGATTTCACCTTTACCTTCACAGACCCTGTGGCACTCAATTTACCTAAATGAGCTTGCCAACGGTTAAAATATACTTCCATTTCTTGCAAGCCCAAAACCAATTGTAGCTTTACCACGTCTTCAGTCATATCCAAAAATGCGTCACCTGTTCTCTGTAGGGTTGCGAGGTTTTTGAAAATACCCTCAGTAGCTTTTACATTTCCTGACACACGGACAAATGAGATTTTTTCACTAAACTTTTCCTCCATGTCAGGAATATTTATTTGGCCGTTGTTTTTCGATAGTTCAGAATCTTTTGCGCTTTGTAAGATCGAGTCCACAAAGCCATTTATATTCTCCTTTTCTGATCTTGAGCTGGCAATACTCACTAGGAGAATCGCCAAAACGTACTTCAACTTCATTTCTAACCTGTAACAAGAGTAATATTATTTATTTTATACTGCTTACGGGTTTGATTTCCAATATTAACCCTAGCGCTGGCAATGGCGACGCCGGATATACGGCGCCAATGCCGGTGTTCGGTAGGCCTATATATAACTTTTTTTTTTTTTTTTTTTTAGTTTTGTTAACTTTTTTGGGCTACTGTTGTAATAAATAAGTTAAATAATACAAACCAGAGTACCCTGGAATTATATATTATATAAGGTGTACGGATTTGTACATGACCTGGGTTGGGTGATTATTTGGTACTAGCGCGGGGGTACGATCGACATAGTAATAGGGCTACCAAACAAAATACACAAAATAAGCTATATAAACTATATATTTTTGGAATCAGCACAAAATTTACCACAACTTTACAATTTACTATATGATGCTAAGTCTTACATGCACTTAGCTATACGACGGAATATAAAAACATTTTATAAAAAAATTAATAATGCCCACAATTTGGAAAAACCAAAAAAATTTTTTTGTGGTAACCATGTAAATCACCTTTAATATTGTTCTTTGTGTTATTCCGAACAAAATGATATATAACAATCCATAGTTATGTTGCTATTTCTAATTTTTATGATGGTTTAAAAATGATATTACATAATCAATAATATCCCTATGCCAGTACAGTGTTACACTACTGCCAGCTCTAGGGTTAAAGGAAATAAATCTTTGAATCTATTGGTGTGAAAAATTTGCTTTAAGCCAAATTAGTTTCCAAATCTTGGACTTTTTAAATATGCTTATTTTTATTAAATTCCAATGTAAAGTGAGGAAAGTAATGTGTTAGATTAGTCCATCTAATTTTTCTATTAGTCTGGTTGCCGGTAAAAAAACCTGGAAGTAAGGTCCACCCGAAGTTTTATGGTGTTTTCTGTTTCTTCAAGACCTACATAACTAAAATCTGCAAGGTGCCACTTTGTCACCCTTGAGCAAATTGAAATATTCAAGATGGCGGCCAAGATGGCTTAAAAACTGTATATTTGCTGTATCTTTCCCTATAGAAAAGACAGGATAATAATTTTTGTGTCTAATTTTATGTTTTAAGGGTCAGAGAATACCAATAATTGATTATCTTAGTAATAAAATACCCCCGCCACAGCAAACCTGCCGACTAAGCGAATTTCCAGTTGCCTGAATTGATTTTCAATTAAATGTATTTAATTAACATTAATTTTTATGAGTACTTAGGCTTGCTGCTACAGAGAGGGTAAAAAAGTGTTTTTTTTGTGAAATATTAATAACTTAGTATAAAATAAATAAATTTACCAATTTTGATCAAAATATATCCTAATATAAAAAATATATAAAATATAATCAAGAATAACATGTGAATTTTAAAATAACAATTATTTGTATTTTCTCCGTAACTAATAATGGTACAAAAACACTTTGATATACTAAATTATTTGTTCTTTTAAGCTCTTTAAGAAGGTTTGAAGAGAAATTGGAAAATTTTGCGTTTAGAGGGTCAAAAATTAGAAAAACAAATTTTTACCCCATAAAACCCCACGTAAAACCCCGTTTCCATGGTCCGATCATGCTGCTTCGGTTTACTAATCCTGTATATCTGCTGTATCTTTCCCTATAGAAGAGACAGGATAATCATTTTGTGCCTAGTTTGATGTTTTAATTAGAAAATTACCCAAAATAATAAATCAATATAAGTTTTTAATAAATTTCCACATTAATTTGTTGCCAAGTTACCTTATCAACAATGTTTTCAAGTATTTACTTGACTTAAAACATTATATCTATGGTTTCTGAGGATAAGTGCAACATTCAAACAGAACACAGTCATCAAATCAGTTAACTTACAAGCAGTTCTC